GTTGAAAATGTCACCTGAGGTGCATTAGAACTTAAAGGTGTATGTTCGACATGAATAGTAATGACCAACTAGAATATGTGTGCCCCGTGCCCCGTGCCCCGTGCAACGACACGGGCATTCACCTAGTAAAGGAAAAGGAATTTAAAATCCTAATTGTAAGCAGTTACTTAATTTTTTTATTTTGATATTTCAAATAATACTTTAAATTTGCGAACATGTTTCAAAATGAATTATAAAGTTCACAAAAGAGAAAATGAATTAACAAAAAAAGAAAAAAAAATAGAAAAAAGATATTAGGCCTTGGCCCAACTAGGATTTGAAAAAAAGTTCATCGATTCAAAATATATCTGTGTTTTCAAAAAAATGTTCACTAATTCAAAACGTGTTTCCTTTTCTCAAACTTGTTCAGAAACTGAAATTTCTTTCAGGAAAATTAAAATATGTTCTTGTTTTCTTAAAAAACACTACAGAAGTACAAAAAATGTTCGACAAAATTCAGAAATTGTTCGTGTTTTTCTGAATTTTTTGAAATTCCGTTTTTTTTGTATTTTTCAAAGTTTATCATCTTCAAAATTTTGTTCCCTATTTGTTGAAAGTGTTCATGTTTTGACACTCTGAGCAATTTTAACAGAGACGTAGTTTTTTTGAAATTTCTGTACAATTTTTTGAAATGTGAATATTTGTATCTTTTCTAACATTTTGTGAAAAGATGGTTTTTTTTTTGAAATTTGAACAAATTTCTGTGATCTGGGGAGCTTCTTTTTTTTTGAGAAAATGATCTGGGGAGCTCCTAGTCAGCGCTTTCAACACCGGGTTTGGAAGTTGGCGCAAGCGTGCATTCCAGCGGGCTACGGCCCAATATTGCGCCAGCTCGCTCGCCAGGTTCACATGCTCGCTAGCTTTGCCCGCTATTTTTGAAAAAAGCTCACAAGTTTCAAATACAGTTCACAAATTCAAAAGCTATTTATGATAAAAATTCTAAAAAGTTCATGAAATCGAAAAAGTTTGCGATTTTGAAAATTTCTACGAGTTAATTTTTTTAAAAGATCATGAATTTGGAAAAAAGTTCATGGATTTTAAAAAAGTTGACAAGTTTAGAAAAAGTTTACAAATCTGAAAAAATTTCACGAGTTCAAATTTTAAAAAATTCATGTAGTTGAAAATGTTAGCAAGTTTGGAAAATGTTCGCAAATTTGGAAAATTTTGAGGATTTGGAAAAATGTTCACTTAAATTATAATTTAAAAAATGTTTAGTTAAATTAATAAAAAATCTAAAAATTTCAGAAAAAAGGCTTTGAAAATATTATAAAAATTAAAATAAAGAAAAAGAAAAAAGAAAGGAAAAAAACCCGAGCCAAAACCGTACATGAAAAACCAAAAGAAAAACCTCTCAGAAAAATCTCGTAGAACCTGAATCGGAAATGTACACAACAAGAAGGAGAAGAAGTAAAACTATACACAACAAGCGTTCTGTTCCAGCTGGTAAGTGTGGTTGACTTAAACCCCTTGGGTACATGTTTGAATCCCAAATGGTGCAGTACTTTTCGAGGCTAAAAAAAAAAGAAAATGCAAATGGGCAAAAAGAAGAAAATGTGAATGGGCCGAACCCAGGACGG